ATCAATTTCAAGATGGCTAACCTCAGCCGCTGCAATCTGACACATGCCAACCTGTGCTGCTCCAATCTGGAGCGGGCTGATCTCTCTGGAGCCAACCTGGATGTAAGCGTGGCGGCTCTGGTGTTGTTCAGGCTAATTCTTATACATATCCATTCACGTCTGTAAATGCTTCCTCCTTCCGTGTATCTTAATGTGCTATTTTTTTGTTTGTTATGTTTTTTAAATGTTGGCCTTGTGGTGATGCAAAAATGTACTTGTCTTAGGATTTTTGGTCTCTATCTGCTGCCCCCTCACTTGTGTAGAAAAAAGGACTACTCTGTTCTTTAATATCTTAAAGATACTGCTACAAATCTTCCTCTCACATTCAGCTTATTTAAAAAAAAACGGCACTTTTTTTCTCCATAATCTTTTCATTAATAATTTGTAGAGGTTAGGTCAGACTATCATAAAAACTTTTGCTCTTTGCTCTGCTGGTTGCAGGGTGCTAACTTACAAGGGGTGAAGATGCTGTGTTCCAATGCTGAGGGAGCTTCTCTCAAAGGATGCAATTTTGAAGATCCATCTGGACTGAAGGCCAACCTGGAAGGTAATCTTTAAAAGCTTTCCTGATGAAAAAGGAGGCAGCCTTAATTTCGTTTTTATTTTTTGTTTTTGTTTTAACTGTACGATTTTTATTATTATCATTTTTATTTTTTTTCTTTAAATCAGGCGCTAACCTGAAAGGAGTCGACATGGAAGGAAGCCAAATGACCGGTATCAACTTGCGTGTGGCCACTCTCAAAAATGCAAAGCTGAAGAACTGTAATCTGCGGGGAGCTACTTTAGCAGGGACAGATCTCGAGGTGAGTCAAGGATTATCTTTAAAAGCACAGAATAAAGTGGGCTCAGGTGGCAGGTTTTGTTTATGACATCAAAATCAGGAGCAGAAATAATGACACTGCGAATCTGAATAAAATTCCCAATATGTGATGCAGCTCGCGAAAAGCAAAGTCCCACGTTTTTGTTTGTTTGTTTGTTTGTTTTTTATGTTTCCTGAAATCTTAAAACTAGATGACATGCAAAAACAGGTTTAATTTATCGCTCTTTCTCCATTTTATGTTCATTTTAACTTGAAGATCTCAAACTTTGTGCTTTTCGAATGATTGTGGAGCAAATAGACACTGACCTGAAGCACATTTGTAAATCATTAAAAGCTTCACTAAACTTACAAGAAGCCGGTCGATCTGTCACAATCCACACAGTGTTAACAGCACAGGCCAAAGACGGCAAGGCTCGCCTCATTACTTAGGAATTTTCATTGGGTTTTTTTTTGTTTTGTTTTTTTTCTCCTGTCCAGAACTGTGATCTATCTGGCTGCGATCTACAAGAAGCTAACCTGAGAGGGTCCAATGTCAAGGGAGCCATTTTTGAAGAGATGCTGACCCCTCTGCACATGTCACAGAGTGTTAGATAACTCAACACCACACCTGCAAGTCCAATGCGGGCCACAGCTTTCCCCAAGTCGCTCCTTTTCAATCTCTCTATACCTATCAGTGCAGTACAGGTATATGTATGCACACCCCTGGCATTCCACCAATATTATGTTAGCTTTAAATATATTGCACTAGAATTTATCCAGGGTTGTCTTATGTATGTTTGTATGGTAGGGTGTTTTGAGAATGTTCAGCTGCGTTTATCACCAAAAAAGTAAAAGGTTCCTAGTTTGTGTAGATGTGTCTGGATGTAATCAAGTGACTATACTCATTTAGTTTCATACTTTTATTTCATATTACTTGACATGTTAATAGGAATCAAAGTCAGCTTACCTTTGAGCAGTAAAGCTCAGAGCATTGAGCTTCACTGCATGCTGCTGTAGCAGAAATGGAAGAGGGTTAATTACCAATAACTGTGTCAATATATATATTCTTCTTTAAGTATGTAACTTAATATTGCTGGATATACAACATATTATTATAAAAGAAATAATGCAAGCCAAAGCCATACACTAGCACAGTCTAACAGGCTAAAAGTGCTGTTAGAGCAACATAAAACTATGCTACAGGCTCGTTTTAAACACAGCTCGAGTATGCAATACAAGATGTATAGCTGTGAGGTTTGTTTTTCTAGTTTGATGTTTTTCTGTCTCCTAAAAAACAAAACAAAAAAAGCTTTCCCTGGTTTTGTGCTCTGTGAATCTACCTCTTATTAACCCGAGGTGTGAGTGATCCACAACTGCATGCATTCGGATGTGGCAAAGCTTATCGTAATGTTCATGCACATCATCCGTTATTTATCCGATCCCCAGTACGGCAGGAGAGTCCATTTTCATGTTGTTAAAGTGGGGTTTGCCTGGAAACGTGCTTCGTGTATTTATGTATGTCACTTAATCATGCTTTAAACTTGTTTGCACATGTATATGTTAACGTGTAACGTGGTATATCCTTTCACCAAAAAGGTTTTGTGCTTTTCTTATGTAATGTTGTGTAAAGCAAATCCAGTGCTTCCAAAACTTCCCCAAAAAGTAATTCTTAGAGTAGACAGAGGTGTTGTCAGCTGTTTTCTGAAGGATCTAACTTCAGTTCTTGTTCCACAGTGTCTGTTTGCATGTGAGGGGGGAGGGGGAAAGCTGTGTCTTTGACCAGTGAAGTTTCTCTAGCTGTAGCTCGAAGCTGCACCAATGATGCAATATTATTCACTCAATGAAGTGGAAGGTACCCGGCCTGTGAGAATGAATGATGAAGGCAATCATAATGTGTATTTCACCCTGAGTGTGAAAACCAATGGAAGAGCTATGGTTATTTATTTTAATACATCTCACTGAATGCAATATGGGGCTGGGGTTGATTTGTTTGAGGCAGGGAGTTGTGTAGTTATCCCTGTCTATGAATATTGCACTCGACCATGGAAATATGTTTCCATAAATGACTGTTATAAATAAACTGCTATGAAGAAAAAGTCTTTGTCATCTGTTTTTCTTTCTCGGTTGCTTTGGCTCAGTTCTCGAATGACAGTCATCTAAACAACATGTCACATCCTTCAGAACTGCTGCTTGTGCTCATTTGAATGAGCATTTGTCATTCTTTGTTAAAATTTGCAAATGTTTTTAGACATTTTGGCCTATGACTCAGCACAGCTGTCTACAGCTTGAGCTGTCATTAGTTGCACTTGTCTTTATGAGCAAAATGGATAATGTTCCTATCGGCCGAATAGTTCTACACACTTGGAATATGTTTTGAAATACAACATCTGACAACCAACAGCTGGAAAGACTAAAGGTCTATGTTGTGAGTATTAGGAAAACATACACTCGCTGGACACTTTATTAGTTACACCTTATTAGCACCAGGGTGGTAGTGTCGCACTGTTGCAGATTTGTCGGCTACACATTTATGATGTTAATCTCCCATTCTGCTACATCCCAAAGATGCTCTGTTAGATTGAAAGCTGGTAACTGAGAAGACCTTATGCAGCCACCGTGCAAATCGAACAACTGCGGGAATTCAAAGACCTCGGCTCTCTGATGCAAGAAAAGTGGCATCTACAGCGGAAATGTACTCAAGAATCGGTCAAGCGGCGGCGGCATTCCCCTCCTTACGATGGTGTATCTGGAAAAAGACAAACGTCACCCTCATCACCAAAATCCGCCTGTACTGCTCACTGGTATTGCCCATTCTTCTCTACTGATCCGAGCCTTGGGTCACCCTCAAACACAACCTCAACAAGCTCGAGGTCTCCCAAATGGGCCGTTTGCGTCAGATTCTCCGAGTGTCCCTCCATGACCGCCTCAGCAACAGCGTGACACGTAGTCAATGTCACCAGCAGCCCTAAATGGAAGAGCTGACCCTGAAGTGACGACTGCAATGGTTTGGCCATGTCTGCTGCATGAGCAACCATCACCTACCATATCGCCTTCTGCTGCAGCAGTGCACCGCCCACTGGAGAATCGAGTGTGATGCACCCAAGACGACTTGGATCAAGCAAATTGAAGACGATCTTAAACAACCATCAAGCAAGCAAAGGTCAAGGACACAGATCGCAATGACTGGAAGTGCATTGTTGACCAAGATGGAAACCCTACGGCACCCACAGCGACATATTTACTTCGACCTCCCCTGCTGACCGCCAGCTAGGGACAAAACAAAGAACTGTGGAGACCATTTAACCCCAGTGGCTCACTTTCATCTTAAAGAAACCACTTTCAGGAGATTTTAGCGCATAATCCTGCTGGTACATTATGGTCAAAAGGGATGAACACGGTCAATGGACATGATACAAGGCATGATGCATTCATGCTTTCATTATTTACACCAAATTCTGACCCTACCATCCAAATGTTGCAACAGAAATTGAGACTGGTGAATCAGAATGTTTTGCAAATTTTATGCTGACCAATTTTGGTGAGCCAGTTTAAACTGTAGCCTCAGTTTCAGAATCAGAATCAGAATCAGAATACTTTATTGATCCCTGGGGGAAATTATTTTTTGTTACAGTGCTCCATTTTAAACCAACATTAAGACAAGACAGACAATACGCTAACTAAGAATAGTACAATATATACATCCTCCTCTTAGCTGACAGTAGTGGCACCTGGTGTGTTCTTCAGCTGCTGCAGATGTTCTTCTGCATACCCTGGTTGTTATAATTGGTTATTTCGGTTACTGTTGCCTTACTATCCGTTCAAAGCAGCCTGCCCATTCTCTCACATCAACATAGCATCTTTGCCCAGAGACGTGCAGCTCTGTAAAACAGATGTTTGTGTACATCAGGGTACACATGAGGTGAAAAACATACCAAAGCAGTTCTGGAATAACTGTCATATATCTTGTGAAGTCAGTTCAAAGTACATCATAAAATGATCAGAAACTGCAAAAATCACACATCAGGTGCAATTGTTCAAACAGCTCTGTGGGTTGCCAGAGTTGCCAAGTGTTGCTTAATCCCACTTTGTGACCCCCTGTAGTGAAGTGTTGGAGGAAACAAAGCACAGTTATATAAATCTTGGAAAATCATGTGCAGCAGACTTCACAAAGGACAGCAGAAGAGATCAGAAGTTCTTGTCTAATGCACAGAAGGTAAGGTCTTATCTGAAATGTGATAAGGACTGAAACAATATCTGGAGTTAAATGGGGGAAAAATTCTATCATTAACATGCTTACGTGCAAAATGTGAAGCTTTATCCTCAGAATGGCTGCAAAAATCTTGGCACTGTGGCTGCTGCTCGCAGGGACGGTGTTTCCACAGGGCTGCTGTCAGCACTGGTCATACGGACTGAGCCCAGGAGGGAAGAGGGATCTGGACAACTTCTCAGACACACTGGGCAATGTAAGCATTAGTCTAACAGCAACTCTTTATCTGTACATTAGCAGCTGTTGCTTTTCACTGCAATGTTTCTTCATTTTTCCTCAACAAAAGATGGTTGAAGAGTTCCCACGCGTCGAAGCACCTTGCAGTGTTTTCGGTTGTGCAGAGGAATCACCTTTTGCCAAAATGTACAGAGTGAAAGGACTTCTTGTAAGTTTTTCTCCTGAATAATTCAATGTTTAGATTCACTGATGCATCTGTCATTGCTGTCAAAAGGCAGGCAAAGACCTGACCTCATTTTCAAAATAATTTTCTCCTTTCCTTTCAGGCGAGTGTGGCCGAAAGGGAAAATGGACACCGGACATTCAAGAAATGAAAGATTTCTTTGATTCTACATTTCATTTTTTATATAAGCATAAAACATTTTTTTGTGAATGTTGCTCTTGTTTTATTATCTAAAATATAAATAAAAGCTTTCAACTCACTGAATTTGTTTTCTGCTAAGTTTGCTTGTAATGTTTGATGCAACAGCACCTCGATTTATTAATTTTTTTTCATCTTATGACCCAAATCCAAGCAAACAGTACCAGGAAAAAAAAGCCCTTTGTATTTGATGTCAAATGGACAATTTCTCTTTTAGTCAAGTTTGGCTAAGGAGAAAATTTACAGCCACAGTTCAATGACAACAATATGCATAAATTTGGGATAGTTAATGGTATTATGTACAGTAAGTATTGTCGTGTAGGGATTTGGAAGATTGTTACAAATTGGCAACTAAAAATGACACAATACAATTCTTCTTTTTTTTTTTTATATATATATATATATATATATTTTTTTTAAACGCTTATATATATATATATATATATATATATATATATATATATATATATATATATATATATATATATAACATATATATATATATGTGTTTATGGCACTATAATATGAAAAATATTTTTCATATGTATATATTTTTTATTTAAATCCTCTTTACCTTTTTTTGACTTAGTAGATGTGTATAGTAGTAGATGCTGTGACTGACTCCAACTGGAAAGCAGGAAAGAGCCATGTATTCTGCAGCTCGGCTCATAACTTGCACTCTGTTAAGTGCTCATATTACCCCAGTTCTTCAGCAGCTTCACTGGTTGCCCATAGAAGCCAGGATAAATTTTAAAATCTTACTTCTCACGTTCAAATGTATCCATAAATCTGCTCCTTCATATTTGTGTGACCTGCTCCATATCACCACTGTTTCCCGCCCTCTCAGATCATCATCTGCTACTCATCTTACCGTTCCGTCCTCACACCTTATCACTAAGGGGAACAGAGCTTTCAGTCGCTCTGCTCCCCGGCTCTGGAACTTTCTTCCTCCTGCACTAAGAAATATTGACTCCCTCTCCATATTTAAGACACAGCTCAAAACACACCTGTTTAAACTGGCTTATTCGCTTTAATGCTGATTTTATCTGTTGTCACGCTCTGTTTTGTAATTTTAACTTATTTTATGTATTTTATGACTACTGTTCCTTTTATTAATTGTGTTTTTTGCAAGGAGACCTTGGGTTTCTGAAAGGCGCCCTCAAATAAAATGTATTATTATTATTATTATTATTATTATTATTATGTCTCTTTTCTTTCCAGTATCTCCCGCCTTCGTCCATCCAGCCTTTCTCTCTGGCTGTCTTCTTTGGCTCCTGCTTTCAGCTCCCCTCTCTCAACATTGCTTGTTTTCTGGCACAGACGATCACATGATGTATCTCTTATCTCCCTATCTGCCTTTCCTCTAACTTTCTCAGCCATATTGTTCTCTTTTTCCATCTCCCTTCATCAAAATTTCTAACTTTCCTTCTTATCTATGCAAACCCTCTTATATTTCCAGCCCCCTCTATCCCCCACCCCCTTGGCTTTTCTCTCTCTTCCATCCAGCTGTCAATTTTTGTTTGACATTTTTCTTTTACATCGTCTTATCCTGTATCGAGTTGTCATGGCCTCTGGCACCCCTCTTCCTCTGAACCCTGCCTTGCTCTCCGTTTCCTTTACACTTCCACTGCTCTCCAGTGTGCTCCTTCAGCAATCTTCCTTCCCCTCTTTCATCTTCCCTTGAGTCTTCACCTTCTTTATCTACCTTTTCCTTCATCCTGCACCCCCACCTCCTATCCTAAAACCATCAGCCCGTCCTCATCTCCCTTTCAGTCACAGTCTGTACTTTTTCCTCTCTGTGCTTCTGTTCCATCATTTAATCATCCTCTCTTTCTTTTGTTCATCTTCCCCACTGCTCTGCTTATACAATTCATTCCTAACCTCCATCGCTCTGCCATTGTTGTGTCCTCTTCATCTTCTTCCAGCTTCACCTCACACCTTCTGTAATTCTAATACACTTCTCCAGCTTCTTCTGCCTCTGTGTCACACCCTCTCCTGTCTCCTAGCATTTTCTTTTCCCATTCTGCCCTCCCCGCCTTTGTGCGTTCATCTTCTTTGCTTCTGTGTCCTTCCTTTTCTGTCTACTTTCATTCCTTCCTCTCTCTACTTTGTATCCTACATCCTTATTTTGGACCCTCTGCACTCTTTTCATGTCTACACCTTCTGTTCTGTGTTTTTTGATCTTTCTATCTTGATTGTCTTACTTTTTCACTCAGCCTTGTTTTTTTTAATCTTTCACCAAGCCATCTAACAGATCTTCATCCACTTTTCTGTAGCCTGTCACTCCGCTCGTTTCTGGGTTGTTGTTTTTTAACTCGACCTCTCTATTGTCAGTCTTTCTCTTCTACTGGCTTTTTTTTAAAAAAAACCCAAAAAACCAAAAAAAAAAATCTTCCAATATCTCTTGTCCACACTCTCTCTCACTTTGTCTTTAATTTTCTTTCATCTTTATTCAGGAGGAGTGTAGCCCTCCAACTAGTTGCTTTCTCTCTGATCAGTTTTACTAATCGTCTACTCTGTGGATTAGACTACTCTGTCTGTTCCCCGTTCTTTTCTTTCCACATTCATCTTTCTTCCATTTTATCCAGTTTCTTTTTGTTTCTCCTGTTACTACCCCTCTTCTTTTTCTTTCTACTGATGTCATCTTTGTGCTTCTCGCTGAGCGACCTATCTTTCTCAACCCTTTTAGCCATATTTTTCCTTATTAATATTAAATTTCCACACTTTCTGTTCTCTTTCTATTACACTCATTGACCTTTACATCTCTCTACCTCAGAAAGACATATGCAAATGTAAGTATAAATTACACCTTATTGGTCATGCTTGGGAAGAAGCTTCCTATCCTTCTTCATCATTCCCTTTTCCTTCATCTTCATAATCCTTTATGTTTCTCACCACTAACTTTGTCATCTTCCTACCCTTTGAACCTATACCTGCCATTTGTGCCCTCCACCTGGATCTCTCTCTCTCTTTTTTTTAAGCGGTCTTTTTGCTCCCTCATCCCTTCAGTTCACCATCCTTTCCTTCACCCTACTTCTTCATACTCTTATACATTTGTCTTTCTATTCAGCTTTAAATTCTCCCTCTCACATCTTCTGTTTCCTCTTCGTTTTTTTCAACCTTTCAGTTCAGTCAGTACTGCTGCTCCCATCCGTCTGCTTCATCCCAAACAAGCTTGACTGGGGTTTAAGTCTGAGGACTGTGCTGGTCTGCCATCATTTGTGTGCCTACCTTTATTTCTCTTTGGGAGGAGCCCAGCCCAACCAGTCTGTCTTCCGCTGTTACTTGTCTTTTTTTTGTCCTAGTAATGCATCGCAGGGTGTGGTAACACAGTTTGTTCCCACGCAGCTTTTGCATGTAGGTTTTGTAAGCATTAAAACAAAAGTTGGTCCTCCAGTACACATTTCTTTCCACCCCACAACTAAAACCATCCAGCAGGAGTGTGTGTGTGTTGGTCAGTCGAATAAAAATAAGGGCGTGTGTACTAATGTAGTTTTGTGGTAAAAAAACCCCCCCCATATATGTATGTATGTATGTATGTATGTATGTATGTATATATATATATATATATATATATATATATATATATAAATAATTATATATAAATATATAAAAATAATATATAATAATATATAATATATAAATATATAATAATATATAATTATTTTTTTTAAATTTATTTTTAAATTTTTATTTTTTTAAATACTTGTTTTTGGCTCCAGCAGGACACACGAGCCTGAATCAGCGTCTCTAGCCACCAGGGGTCACTAGACAACAACATGACAGTCCATCTTTCCATGTTTTAGTGTCGGTGTGATATTTTTGTAGCTGTCATGTTCACAAATTGAGCTGCAACTTTGTAAAGTCTGCATGCTCTCTCCAAGTACCTCTGAGGTTTTATCTACTGCGTGGACTTGTACTCCGCCCCCCAGTGAGGGTTTTGATACGGGCGACACGGGGCGGCATCGTGGTGGGGGGCGGAGTTCTCTGGCTGGCTGGAGCAGCATCTAATAACCAACTCACAATATAAAACAAAATAAAACCAAAACAGCAAACACGAAAACACCAGACATCATGATACAGACTTGTAATTTGCGCCGATGTTTTTTCGAAATTCTATACGCGAAAAGTGATCGCGAGAGCCCTCGGTATGCCTGCTTGCTGCTGAAGTCAAAGTAAACTTTATTGGCATCTCTGCCACATACAGTCCAGTATATAGAGAGACGAGACGACGAGGCTCCAGTTACAGCAGTGCAAGTAAACAAACAATAAATATAAGAAGAGTAAGAAAATAAATATAGGGGAGACCGGGGATAGTTGTGACGTGGGTCAGTTGTAACACTTCCAATTTCTCCAATCAGGGCTAAGTTTCAAATGATGTGATTAATCCTGTGCATGCCCAACTCAGTTGTGCTATCACGTGAAAAATCAGCACATTTTGTCAAACACAAACAATTTAACACGAAAAAAAGTAATTTGTATGCCAAAAAGTAAGTTTTTCTACTTTATTTCAATTTCTAATAGCATTATCTGCTTTGCAGTTAAACTCATCAAACTTAAATTATGTTATTTGTATGTCTATGGGGATATATTCTGTGTAGGTCTTTAGTGCTAATGTTTTAGCCGTTGGCTGTAATGTTAGCTAGTTCATGGCTATAGGAGTCTGGGTCAGTTGTAACAGCAACAGTCTGGGTTAGTTGTAACAATAATGCAGATGTTACAACTTACCACACTATTACTTTAACTTATATTAAACAAGTTGGGGCAACGACATCAGCAGAGAGAGGTTCACTGGTCGCATTTGTATATGCGGTTAATGCCATTGGCAACACAATTCCTCCACTGTTTGTGTTCCCACACATACACATTCTCACACTGTGTCAGAGATGGACCAGTAGGAAGTATTGGTAGTGGAAATAAATTAGGATGGGTGCAAGAAACAGATTTCCTCATCTTTCTGAAGCACTTTGCAAACCACACCAAGGTAAGCCATGATAA